CACACACACACACACACACACACACACACACACACACACACACACACACTTGCGAGGGCAGTTGTTAGTGTCACATATGGATGCAGCAGTCTTCCTCTTCCCACTGCCACCCACAGGAGCAGCACACTGGAAAACAAAGGTAGGGCTCGAAGGGTTTTAATGACTTTACAAAGGAAGGAAAAATAATTCCCCTGCAAAGGTATTCAGACTGCCCAAAGGTGTTAAAATTTAATGTCTTTGGAAACTTCTGTGGCCTTGCAAAGGCATTAGGTCCTACCTTTGTTTTTCCAGTGCAGCAGCAGCTACCAGAGCCGCTCGCGGCCCCCTCGCGCCCCTTCTCTTGAATCGTACGCACCATCAACCCTGTCCGCCCCTAACATTCACACATCCATTTTGCACAGATTCGCGTCACATTTCGCGTGATTTCTCGCCCATTCCGCGAGATGCCACCACAACGCCATATCGCGTGCACTCCGCCCCCAGCGGAGAAGATGCATCCAAACAGTAACAGCCGATCTACTGCTTGATTCGGAGGGGTTCTATTTCTATTCCGTTTAACTTCACCCCGTGGAACAGGGCGCTTTGCACTGGGCCGCCACTGCACACCGACTCGCGGTCCCGTCCCGCGCAGGGGTCCGTAACTTATCGTTTAAGCTTTACGTTTGATCGTTATTTCGCATTATTGACTAGTTAAAAGAGTGTATATACTGACGAATTGCAGAAATGCGCAGGAAAACAAGTCATAAGATGCATAACGCCAATAACGCAAGCCGTTTACGAGATACGGATACCTAAAATTCACTTATTCGATGAGTTACGGACCTCTGCCCACGATATGGCTTCGAGGAAGGGCGGCGGCGGGGGTAAGGAGGTAAAATGTGCGGTATCCGCGTTCGCGGAAGCTTTTGCGAAAAAAATATTCAACTCACGGTAAAAGCCAAGACCAGGTTTGGTAAGATGGGGACATTTGCCGAGGAATAGGCCGTATTTGTCCCATCAACATCTAATAGTTAAGCTAGGTAGATGTACGCGACCACGTCTCGCGTCACAGGCTTTGCGATATATCTCACGACACACTGTTACGTTGCGGCGCACCTGGCACCTATGCCCAAAGAGGTTGTA